GACGTGCGCACGCGCGACGCCCGGCCGCCTGCCCCGCCCCTTCGCCCCTGGGTGCCTCCGCGGGAACCCCAGCCGGCCTGCGCGCGCCTCCCGGGGTCTCCCCGCCCCTTGCCTCCACCGTCCAATCAGATCCGGCGAGGGATGCGAAGCCGGGGAGAGGCGCTGACGGACGCCCACCGGCTCGGAGGGGTGGAGTGCAGGATGCGCGGAATCTTCGTTCCGCAGCCGGCTAACGGTCGTCAGAGTTCAGAACCGTCGCCTTAGGGATGGTGGGACGGTCGCCAGTTTCTGCAGCTTGCGCGTTGCCTGAGGGTCTCACCGTGCTCGGCTGCCCTCGGGGGTGGCGACCTGGGCCTTCTCAGGCGTTCACGTCGGGGCTCTCCGCACGCCTCGGTGGCCAAGCGATAGGAGTGAGGAGAGAGAGTGCGTACTTCTGTGTTTGTGTTTTTTCGGTTTTTTTGGGGGGGGGGATTTGTTTGATTTTGTTTGATTTTTACTCTTTTCTGCTCTAGAATTGAGCTTTTTTGAGAGTAAAACCCGTCTGGTTCTTTGTCGTCATCCAACGCTTAGGGCTGTGCTGAGTGTGCCAGGCTCTCCAAATTGGTTGAAGAGAGTGGACATTTAGTAGGGAAAAGAGAAGTGAATTGGCCATTAGAAAACATGGCTTTGTGCCTCTTCCTCACCAGGTCTCGTTCCCTCTTCAAGTATTCCCAAAGATGTAGAGAACAGCGAATCAGTAATCATGGTTCCCTCTGCCTTGACAAAGCTTCCATATCATTCTGATCTTCAGAATGGGGATTGTAATGAGGGACAGCCTCAAAAGGTGATGTTGAGGGCCTAACAAGGTAACTTGCTCAAAGGCTGCCAAACTGGATAAATGGTTGAAACTTTTGACACTCCACTCTTACAAAATGAAGATGACCGTAATCCATCATAGGTTTTTTTGAGAGGATCAAAGAGATGCTAAATGTGAAAGGGCTTTAGGAACTACGAAGTTCTGTATAAATGTGAGATTTTTCTTTCACAATCTAATTAGCAAGTCAAAACATACAAATGAAACAAAAAAATTCTAACAAAAATTTTTTTCTTTCAAATGCAGAATCATCATGGTGGTTGGACTGAATAATTACTGTTGACAGTGCTGATCCAGGTGTTAAATGGAATGGGGTAGATTACAATAGTTTATGACTTCAGCATAGTCATTACTTTATCAAATCAGCTAATGAAATTCATTTACACCACTGTGCTGCAACTATCAAGATACTTTAATTTTCCAGAGTTTAAAAAGAAAATAACATAAAGAGTTGGAAGATAAGCAAAATTTGTGGATTATTTTTACCAAGCCTGTGAGGGGATGAATACCTCCTGTCTTGTCTTGTTAATCACCTTTTGGGACCAGCAGTTGGCATAATAGCTATGTTGCTGGACTCCCATGTAGTCAACCATGGTTTGAGTCCCAGACTCAGTAGCTTAAACTCACACCGGGCATGTGTATATTTGTGTGCGTGCGTGCCCAAGATCCCAAGAGGAGAATAGAGGAGAAGGGATTGCAGTGTGGCCATCCCCCATGGGGGATGATTTCTCACTTTCTGTCTCTCTGTCTCTCTTTCTGGTGAGTACAAGCACCCTATAACAAAAACCTCTCAAAAGTGACCTTTCAAGGTTGAATTCTAGGCAAAATTATGAAGAGCACGATTACACTTTTGTTTCTTCATCTTATTTAGAATATAAATGACTAACAAGATTGTAGTCAATCCTGGGAGATTTCACAGTTTTAAAGCTGTTTTCAAATCATTGGTTGAATATATTTCATCAGCCAACTAAGATATAGTGGAGTTATTTTGAGATGTTGGTGGTTCACCAGAACCTTCTGAAACTGCATAGGTACTATAGGTACTATGTTTTTCTTATAAATCCAACTCTAGGCATACCTTACCGTCTCAGTTTCTTACCTATAAAAACGAATAGCACCACTCAGTACTCATTCACTCCTAGGTCTAAATTGAGGATAAATATAGTGATCTTGATGGAATAGCTTCTGTAGATGAAATTCAGTAGATAAGGGACTAGCAGTTGGCATAATGGCAATGTTGCTGGACTCCTGTGTAGTCCACTGATGTTCGAGTCCTGGACCTGGTGGCTTAAACTCATGCTGGGTGTGTTGTGTGTGCATGCATGCCCAAGATCCTGAGAGAAGAATGGAGGAGAAGGGTTTG